TGAGAGTGACCTGACCATGGTTGTCAGAAATCTTGAGGAGATGTCCACACACCTTTGTGTGTTTGTCAGAGTCAGACAGAGCAAATAGTTGGTTCTTCAAGTCCATGAGTGAGACCTCATCAGCTTGAGCTGGAATATCAAAACCCACCTTGAAGGTGTTGTGATCAGAGTAAGCTTGGGGTACTCCAGATTGTTTGTTGGCAGGGACAATTGTATTGGGGACGTAAACATGAACCCCTAATTTTGCTCATATTGGTTTAGTCCTCTCCAGGACTGTAAGGGTTGGTTTGGCTGGCAGAGGTAATTTCAGAGCAGGGCTTGGGGACTATGTGAGATCCGCATTGATATTGATCTATGGTTGGATGCAGTCAGTTTGAATCTTTTTAATGGGTTTCAAGAAGTAATAGAGCAAAACTTAAACAACCCCGCTTCAGCTTTGTTTGTGTTCCCATCAGCTTCACCCAGCATTGGGTCCTGGTAAGCAGGTCCTGATGCTGGAGCTGGTTGAGGAAGAAAATAAATCATATCAGCTTCTGTTGGAATGGTTCAGGAAAAAGAAAGAAAAAGTGAACTTACCATCTTGATATAAACAACAAAGAAACACCTGTGACACCTGTGAGCCCAGCTCACATGTGTAGTTCATATTCACACACTCACTATTGTGAAATTCATGTAATGTGGTCCATATTTGACATTTTCTTAGTGGTGACTGGGTCTAAAAAACTAATGATTAATGGAATGTGATGTGAACTTGCTTAATGTGCAGTTAAGAATCTGGTGTCACCCAAGCAACACTGAGGGCTGATATCACCTGGTTCCGCCTGCCCAGCTTGGCTTGCAACACTAGAAAGGAGGATGTTCAGTAAAAATTGAGAGAAAAAACAGGTTTTGATGAACTCTCTCTCTGTCTGGGTTTTCTTTGTGTTGTTTTTTGGTTATTCGAGGGGGCATAATGCTGGTAGTGATGGTCTAGAAGTGGTCTAGAGTGTGGTAGAGAGATGAAAGTGTGGATACCAATTAGATGAAACAGTGGTGGTGATGATGAACAAGCTGAGCTGTTGACCAAATTGGATCAACAGCTACTGTTCAAATTTCCAAGCAAATACAAGGTTATGCTTAGAACATATCCTGTATTTCTGTGAAAAAATAATATAAAAAAACAATTTGTCAACAGAATCTGGACTGACTGTAAATATTTATTGAATTTCTCATTCTTTTTTTCATTTGATTTTGATAAGTATTGTGCTTTATTTGAATTATCAATAATCATTGAAGACTGAAAGTTCTGCCTTGAATAAAGATTGCAGTCTCACATTTAACTTATTACTCTACAAAATTGCCATAATGTAAGGTGGAGTGTGATCTCCACCGTCACTGAATTGAGTCCTTGGCACAAGCTCCAACACTGGGTAAGCTGCGCTGCAACGCGCTACGAGCCAGTTACCCGCGGACGCAGCGGTTTTCCAGGGGGTCTCGCTGTGTCACCACGTTAACGCAGCGGTTTTATGACATATCTATCAACTAAATCCTTGTAGCGCAGCTCCTCAGAGCTGCGTTACGGCCGTTAACAGCTGCGTTTACAGGTTTAGCAGGCACGCTCCGTTGAGCGTTAACAGCTACAGCTCGACCGCAGAAAGCTGTAGCGTGATTGATATCAAAAGGAGAAAAAAGAAAAGAAGGTATACTTAATGACAGTAGAGAAATGTATAAATAGAATAAAGAAAACATAGTTGTAACAGAAAGAAAACAAAATTGTAAAATGAGAAACAAAAAGAAACACCAAAGTGAAAAATGTTTGAGGTTTATCAGTTCAGTGGAATCCCCATCAATTTGAAGACCTTCACAAGGTCTTCAAAGCCTGTTCCGAGTTCTACACCTTCTCTTAACCATAATCTGCTTGACACAAGCATCTCGATTGTTCGAGCTATCAAGCTACCTCTACCTGAACAGCAAACATCTGATGCGCAAGAAAAGATGCGCTCGGCGGCGCAAGAAGAGCCTGTTGATGCCAAGTAGTCCCTGGCCATGCGTGTGATCACTTGATAGGTCCTTTCATGTACCTATGTTGAATTAACATTGAACTTTATTAGTCACCCTGTTGTTTCAAAACAAAATGAAATAGTTAAAGTGAAATGATTTCAATAAGAAAAACGCATTTTCCACCATTCCAAACTTGCTTTGCAATCTTGGACATCATAATCTTCAGCCTTCATCTTGTCAGTCCCTCGTAAATAATTCTTCAACGCTATATCTTCGGACTCTTCAATCTCGGGTTCTGATTCTGAGTCGCTGAGAAAGATATCTGGCTTGGGGGAGGAAGTTGCAGGAGTCTTTGAGGATTTTGCTTGTTGGGAAGCAGTCTGTTTCTTCTTAGCAGGTGCCGAGAGCTCGTACGCGCGATGGAGACGTCGGAAGGTTGCTTCAGCTTTCATAGTCACAGCAGAATCCGCTCCAAACCATTTTACAAAGAATTTGAGTCTGAAAAATGGATGGAGAATTGTCGCCATGACCAGTGTCTCGCATCCAAGGGCTTCGTTGAGATATTCAACAGTTTTTTCCTTCATCTTCGCAAGCATTGGATAAATGCCATCGGTCGTGCTGAGCGGCTGGATTTTCTTTTCGAGCGTGTTGCGCAGCTCGACATATTTTGGAATGACCATGCACTCTGTTGGACCATCACCTTCCATAGCAAGGGTCATCTTCAAGAAAGGCTTGAGAGACGCGAAATTTAAATTAGATTGATGTGAGAAACAATCATAGATGAGAGAAAATATGAAAAGAAATAAAGAAGGACACTTACTTCGAGCTCATCGTTGATCTTACGAACTTGAGCCCAGTCAGTGGTTGTCATTTCCAATTCGTGGAAATAGCCATGAGGCTTTTTATTCTTACAAGCTGACCGATGCTTAGCGTGGACTATATTTAAGTCATCTTGACATAATTGGTTGATGACCTTGAAATAACAAAAGAATATACTAGAGTCAGTCTATCTATATTTGAGAATATAAAAGGAGATAAAACCACTTACGTCTTGAGCAAGCCATGCTTTGTGACGGCTAACATATTTGATGTTCCATCTGATCCCATAGCCCGCTATAAGTGAGCCACTGAAGCCCTTCTGCAAACTTACCCTTTCAAATTCTTTGCGCCAAGCCGCAGATCGAGTAATCCGACGTACAATGAAGTCCAACTGAATGTGAAGTGCGAAAACAATCAGTAGGTACACTGTAGCAAGGTGTTTGGATTCTGAACACATTATTACCTTGCGCAAAACAAAGTCAATGTGGTTTGCTTCTTGACAATGGGTAGGCTGTGCCTCATTCTCTTCGATTGCGAGTTCTGGACACGCCTCTTCTTCAGCGTCAGCCAAGTCCCACTCCCCCTCATCATCAAGTTCAGCTGGTACTTCAGGTGGATCTTCCAGATCTTGTAGGTCATGCTCAACATCCTTATCTTCAAATTTCGGATTGGATCGCAAAGTTTGTTTTGGATCGTTTGAATCCGATGCTGATGCTAGGTGTTCCTCTTCTTCCTCGGCGATAGTTTCGAAAATGGGAAAATTGCCTCGATCGGATTCCTTTGCCTTCATAGATGGAGGTGCTTTCACACCCAGGGCTGCCAAGCCTGCATTGACAATCAACGCAATCTTGTGGCAAAAACAGAAAATATGCATACAGTCCGGGTCCCAAGTGTAAGAGGGATGATCTTTACCCAAGAACTGTTTGTGCATCTCTTTCGCCATAGTCTTGTTATTCGACCCGGAATCGGTCGTCTGAGAAAGCATGTAATACAATAAATAAAAGGTATTAGTACAAATCGAAAAAAATATTAAAAGGAACTTAGAGAACATAAAAGATTAGAAGATACTATACTAATCTTTTCAAAAAGACCATGCTTGACCAAAATGTTGACCACAGGCTCTGCAAGCCAAGGCCCGTGGTGATGCCATACGATCAATTTGAGGGCAAGGTGACGGACTCGGTAGTTCCAGTTGTCATCTATAAAGGTCACAGCTGCCCCTATGAATGTGTGGCAGTTTCCCTTGGTGGTCCATCCATCGTGAACCAGGTTAAACTTAGACTTGAGAGCCTTGAAGGTTTGAAAAAAGTGGTTTAAACCAACATCAGTTAAACTCGAGATTACCACCACTGTATCAGTCAAACGTGATCATACCTTTAATCCAGAGAATACATTCTCTTTGAGTGACAAGTTAACCTGTTTTGCCTCGTCGGCAGCCCAGTGTCGACCGTACAAGTGGGTGTCCTTTTTGCAGGTAGCGGACTATACCTCGTAGGATGGGATGTTTGATTAGATTCCACGGTAGAGCTTGGCGAATGAGCCAAGTACTTATCATTTGGTTGAGGGTGAGGTTGGAGAACGTGGAAGATGGGGTGGATACTACAAAGTCGTCCAATGGGCCTTTTGCCTTTGCGTTTGCCTGACGAGTTTCGGCAACTGATGGGGGTACAAGGGTTGGATCTTCCTCTTGAGCTTTGAGCAAACCAGGGCAGCCAACGTCCAATCGGCCATCTTGAGTAGAGCCATCTCGATGGACTCAAAGATTGCCAGTAAGGTTGCTTAAGCTTACTCGGACTGGATCACTCCTGTCTCTCTTGCAGAATCGACACGGGTATGACAATGGGGCCTTGGTTGGATCCTATACCAATCAATTGCAAGGGCAAGGGAAACATGGTCAATAAAACAAAACAAGCAGAGAAAGAAAAAAGTGTAAAAGGTAAACTAAAATCCAATGAAACTCACGTCAGGTTTGCCATTTTTGTCGACTCCGTGGAAAGGTGGATTGTAATAACATCTGACTTTGCAGGCGTCGCTGTCGGGATTCACAACCTTGCGCTTCTTGGCTACCATCTTCTGATTTTCCTTGTTGGAATCAGCTCGCATCTCCTCTCTCGTGACACTTCCTCGAGCATGCTATTGATTCAAGTGTGATGAAGATATTAGTTTTAATTGTAAATTTTGTATAGGATTTAAGATTGGTATTAATGTGTACTAACCTCATCGCTCTTTGATGATTGCTTCTTATGCTTCTTAGCCTTGCCTTTACTTTTCTTCCACTTGGGAGAAGGTGTCAAGCTACCTTCGGATTCAATCACTCCAGCCACGGATTCTTCATCAGAGGTGATTACCGTTACTGTAGAACCGGTTGACTGTTTCTTGCGTTTGTTTTGAGACTTAGCAAGGATGATGCTTTCGATTGAGACTCGGCGTCGTAGATCAGGGCTCTGAGGGATCAATCCAGGGTTGCTGGTCTGTTTACGAGACTGCGACGGACGTTCGGAGGTTACGGACGACATGGTACTACTACGAGTATGCTATAGAGTGTAGGAAGTAATGGGCGATAACAAATAAAGGAAATAAGCGAAGACGATTTAAGTAGGATTGAGATTGAAAGAGAGAAAAAGACAGCAGTTACCTTGTTGACCATCCAATACCTCGCCATCAAGTCCCTGGTCTGCGGGTTACGCCGCATGTGTCGATGTGATGTCCAGATTGGGGGAAATAGCATCTGTGCATGTTTGTTTAGTGGCGTATGAAGTGCCAGATTAGGATATATCAAGGAAGGTGGTGATTCATACAGGTTGGGGATTGTCGGAAAGGAACACTTTTGGTTCGCTGCCAGGGAACTTCACGCCCTTTGCCCCTATCGTAACCAACAACCAATCTCGACCAGTCAAACCCACATCTCGATCAGGCCAGTGGTTAACTCAGGGCATGGCCCTGACCAGCAAGGCTGGCTGGGCAGGAACGTATGGACATTACGGTTCAGGATAGACACTAGACACATTGTACAATCTCACCTATATATACTACATCATTGTTCGCTCTCATGTTGTCTCTTTCTCTTCACCGATTCATACACTACTTGCTCGCCTTCCTACTTGCTCATTTCTCTCTTATCGTTGTCTCACTCGTGTGTACTGATCGTACGTACCTCTCAGTCCCCTGACAGGTTATGAGCCCAGAATAAAAGCGTATTCTACAAAAACACGATTTTTTTTTCCACAACATGATAAAAAGTTTTCTTTTCGAGCAAATCCTTGTCCTCGGTCGCCTTCATCCTCCCAGCTCCAATGTCCGACGAAACCACTACCCGCGAGCGTAGCGGTATTCCCCTTCTCAAATCGAACAACTTCGCTGTGTGGGAATTCAAGTTGAAGACACGCCTTCGCGTTCTCAAGATATTATCCATTGTCGACGGAACGGAAGTCGCTCCAGTACCTCCAACCGAGGCATGGAACAATCGAGTCAATCTCGCTCTTTCGGAGATTGTAACCAAGCTCGACGACGCTAACACAGCTCATGTTTTTGAACACATCTCAAATCCATCGGCTATGTGGACGGCACTTACATCTCTTCACACATCATCTTCCCCAGCAAACAAAGCTAAAATCTTCGGCCAGTTCCACGCCCTCTCTTGCCCCACCTCTGGTGATCTTAAAACCTTCCTATCCGAAGTTCGCTTGGTAGACCAACAACTCACCAGGATCGGTTTTAAGCTAGACTCTGAAGTCCTCGCTTACTTCACGCTGTTCAAACTCCCTTCAGAACTTGAATCAGTCAGGTCGGCACTTCTCTTTGGCGGCAAAGATGTCACTCTCAAATTTGTTTTGGACAGTCTTGACCAAACTTCCTCTTCCTCGGCCGCAGGAGTAACGGTCAAAAGTGAAACAGCGCTGGTCGCCGCGTCACCGGAACCAGCTTCTACTCGTCCCCGTTGCACCCATTGCAAACGGCTTGGACATCTTGTCGAGACCTGTTACCGTCTGAAGCCTCACCTCAACCCCAGGAACGCTTCGGCCTCGGTAGCAGAACAAGTCTTCACTGCAAACGAGTCGACTGTCTCTACTAACCTAACCATCTTGGATTTGGGGACAACTTCACATATGTTCAACTCCCTCAGTCTCCTTCAAAATCCTCAACCTTGCAACATCAAGATTGGGATTGGCGAATCAAGTCGGTTCATGACAGCAACGCACATTGGCACGGTTTCTGCCATCTCCTGCTCTGGATCAATCAGCCTTGATCAGGCCCTTTTTGTTCCAGAGCTCTCCCGTAATCTTTTATGTTACAGCAAATTTTTCGACAAAGGCTATTCTATTTGCCCCTCAACTGCAGGACGGTTCACTCTGAAGAAAGGCAACCATGTGTTGATTGACGGCACTGTCACCGGGAACTTATTCTATCCGGACATCACCTTTTCCTCAGTTGGAACTTTGGGGTCAGTATCTTTCATTGCTCATGGCATCAGGAACTCTACCTCCCTTTGGCACAATCGCCTTGGCCACCCCAGTCCATCATATCTTTCCTCCATACTTTCACATATTGGCGCTGGCCCATCTGATGACGTAGTTTGTGCGACATGTGCAACATCCAAAGCTCACCGTCTCCCTTTTCCTGGCACCCTTCCCCGTCCTCTCTTCCCTTTGGATGTAGTACATTCTGACCTCAGTGGAAAAATCACTCCTCCCACGTTGAGCGGCTTCAACTACTATATGAAGATAACTGACGGATTTACCTCCTATCGCCACATTTTTCTCCTCAGACATAAGGATGAGGCCTTCTCTTGCTTTAAATCCTATTCCAACTCAGTTGAAAATTTCCACTCACGAAAGATCAAGAAGCTTGTCTCCGACGGTGGGGGGGAATACGTGAATAAGATGTTCTCCTCCTGGTTATCCGACAACGGTATTGTTCATCAAATCACGGCTCCGTACACCCCGGAACAAAATGGGGTGTCTGAATGTGGCAATACCATCACCGTCGAACACGCTTGTTGCCTACTTTCAACCGCCGGAATGCCTTCCAATCTCTGGGGAGAAGCGTTCACCACCGCTGTCTACCTGGAAAACCGGATTCCCAGCAAGGCCATCGGATTCTCCACCCCATATGAACTCTGGCACGGCCGGGCCGCTTCTTACGACCACATCAAAACGTTTGGGTGCGCTGCTTTCGTCCATTTACCTAAACACAAAAGAGACGGAAAGTTTGGCCCTACTGCCCGACGCTGTGTCCTACTTGGGTTCTGTGAGGGAACACAAAACTTTCGAGTCGTGGACCCGTCAAACATGAAGATCACAATCTCACACGACGTCTCGTTTGATGAAAACTCTTTCCCTTTTTCCTCCCTTCAACATGATCCTCAGTTCAATTCCATATCAGAACTATTCTCCGATGACACTATTCCGCCTCTCGAACCTTTGAAAGCACCTCGTCGCCTCATTCTTCACGTAGGACCTCCCCCACCTGAAGTACCTCTCCCGGACTCTCCTATCACCGATTTGTCGGTCTATGAAACTGCTCCCTCTAATCCTTCGACTGCAGCTCCTGCCAGTCCCACTTCTCGTCCTGTCCGCGACCGACGCCCTCCCAAACGTTATGGAGAATTCGGTGCATTAGCCTTCAATGTTGAGATCATCCCTCCAGGTGAACCACTTACCTATCGGCAGGCTCTTGAATCGTCCGACCATCATCATTGGAAAGAGGCCATGGACCAGGAGCTCCAATCTCTGAACGAATGCAAGACTTGGACCTTGGTTGATCTGCCACCTGGCAAGCATTCGATTGGCTCCAAATGGGTATTCAAGATCAAGTACAAATCCGATGGCTCTGTGGACCGCTTCAAGGCACGCTTTGTCGCGAAAGGATTCTCTCAGATCCCTGGACTTGATTTTGGCGAGACTTATGCTCCCACCGGTCGACTAGGAACTCTCCAACTTTGTATTGCCCTCGCCTGTCAATTCGGTTGGGACTTTCACCAACTCGACGTCGTCACAGCCTTTCTCAACGGCACCCTCGAGGAGGAGATATACATGGACCCCCCTCCCGGCCTGCCCAACTCGACTGGTCGCAAGTGCCGACTTCACCGCACCCTCTATGGCCTCAAGCAGTCACCAAATCGATGGTATCTCCGGATCAAGGCTTGGATGCTCTCCATGGGGTTCGTGGTAAGCAAGCACGACCCGTGCCTTTTTATTCGCATCCGTCCGATCAATCCCTGTCTCGTCTTTATCCACGTGGACGACCTTGCTGTGTTTGGTAAAGACATTGGCTGGTTCAAAGATGCGATCAAGAAGGAATTCAAGATGGTCGATCATGGTGCCGCCCACTTTCTTCTCGCTATGAGAATTACTCGAACACCCGACTCTATTTCCCTCAATCAAGATCGCTACATCGCCTCTCTTCTGGATCTCTTTGGCATGACTGACTGCAAGTCCGTTGCAACTCCCTTTGTACCTAACTTACATCTCACCCCCGCCACTCAGTCTGAGATCGACGAGTTTGTTGCTCTCGGCGTCTCATATCGAGGTATTGTTGGGTGTTTGGGGTACCTTGCCCAATGTACCCGTCCCGAGTTAGCTTACCCCTGCAGTGTCTTAGGTCAGTTCCTTGAAACCCCGGGGATCACTCACTGGTTGGCCGCCAAGCACGTCCTACGATATCTTTCCGGCACTCGTAATGTCGGCCTCACCTTTCGTCAAACTTCATCCCCTCTCAACATCGTTGGTTACAGCGACTCCGACTGGGCAGCCTGTCGTTTCTCATGTCGTAGTATGAGTGGCTACACCTTCGTCATTTGTGGAGGAGCTATCTCCTGGCGCGCAAAGAAACAGGTATCAGTCGCCTCCTCCTCCACCGAGGCCGAATATCGTGGCCTTCTGGATGCAGGAAAAGAGGCCCTGTGGCTACAACAAATCTTCCATTCCGTCGTTGCTACTCCTTCCAGTCAACCAATCACCCTCTTTTGCGACAATCAGGCTGTGATCGCTCTCTCCAAATCCGACGCTTTTTCAGCCAACACCAAACATATCGAAGCCCACTTCCACTGGATCCGTGATCAAGTCGCCTCAGGAGAAATTACAATCCCCTACTGCCCAACTGCTGAAATGGCTGCTGACATTTTTACCAAAGCTTTAGACCGCATCAAGATGGCCCGCTTTTGTGACCTGATGGGAATAGGGCCGTGCGCGGCGCCTGCGGCGAAATGATGGCCTCCTTGTAACCTGATCGCATCTCTTTTTTTTTCTCTTTGCATCATGACGATCACGAGGGATCCGAGTGCGTGTTATCTTGTGTTGATTTTTTTTCTTCTTCTTTCTCTGTTCAAGCTGCTCCACCAACAATCGTTCTGTGATCAGGATGTATGCTGCTTTTCAATTTCTTTTTTTTCTCTGCTTTGCATTTCTTTCTTTTCTCTGAGAGCTTGTGAGGCACCCTGTGCATCGAATGGGGGGGGTGTCGGAAAGGAACACTTTTGGTTCGCTGCCAGGGCACTTCACGCCCTTTGCCCCTATCGTAACCAACAACCAATCTCGACCAGTCAAACCCACATCTCGATCAGGCCAGTGGTTAACTCAGGGCATGGCCCTGACCAGCAAGGCTGGCTGGGCAGGAACGTATGGACATTACATATGTAGCTTTGAGTACCGCAATTGTACAATCTCACCTATATATACTACATCATTGTTCGCTCTCATGTTGTCTCTTTCTCTTCACCGATTCATACAC